TCCTTTGTCTATTCACTTGTAAGGTATTCCCCTAGATAAATGGCACTTCCAATGCAAACAGACCCACTGCTGCTTTATTAATCGAGCGCAGGGAAGGCTCCATCCTCTTGACAGGGAGATGGTGAATTCCCTCAGTTTCTGGGTCACAAACTACTTCCTACAGTCCCCCAGCTTCTGGACTCAGTCAAGTGTGTGAGACGGACGCCAAGGTCTGGAGGGGGCATGGGGGACCCCGCTCAGTCTGGGAGCTCCTGCTAGAGAGCCCTGAGCTGGTAGGCTGTCCCTAGGCAAGGCTCCTTCCGAAAGGGGCAGAGGGAGAAGGAGCGTTATTAATTATTTAAGACCTGACTGCGAGCTAGGTCAGTCCTATTAGGATTCTCGACTGCAATTAAAAGTTGGGTGGAAAAGGGGGTATGACAGCTGACTAATTACCATAATAATATAGCCATTACTGCATATATTTTCTATATTGCTACTCACCAAGATATTTAACATATCTATCTAGAGTATATACCCAGCCAGTTCGTTTATGTAAGTGTAATCTATTGCGGATCTGGGGGGGTGGAAACAGTGTCAAGATTACGCATTTAAAATGAATCATGTTGCACGCAGTATTAGTTTCTGTGGTGGATGTGAGGGAAAGGTGGTATTTTTATATATACTTACATTTCAGGATGCCAAGTGACCTATTTCTAAATTTATAAGAATTTTCTAATAGAAGGATTGAATGATTTGCCCCAAGGGTTAGCAAAACAGCAGATACTTGCTTTGCTTGGTGAGAGTCTGACTAGACTTGATGTTGAAGCATGTTCTTCTTTGAAGTCTTTCTTGGGCTGCATTCTACTGGATTGTTTCTGGTTTTTTGTTTGGTGGGGGTTTTTTTTTGCTTTCTGTACACTGGAATATACGGGATTTTCTTTCATCAAGTGAGGAATGTTTTACGTGAAAAGTAATCTGGTGTTAAATGCAGTATGCTTGTTGTCTGTCTAGCTTTTTCCCTTTCCCATTCTGTGTCTCTGATGATTAGACAATTAGGAGAGTTTTGTTTGAACTACATTTTCTCCTTTTGGGACACTGAAAAAGTATGATTTAATTACCACACTAGTCTCCTTAAGGAGGTGGGCCAAATGGAACTGTTTCTTCACGAGAGTGGTGTGTCCATGGCTAACGAAATCGTCTGCTCAGCAGAGGCTGTGATTTGGATGATGTCGAGAGACAGCACCTTTCTGAAGGCAGTTCTGAAATACTTATTGTTAGTCTCTCTAAGCTGTTTGAACTTTGCTTTCAGGGATAGTATTAATAACTTCGTTGTTTTAAACTATTTATGTTTGTTTCTGCAAGTTTCCTTCTGTAAAGAGAATAGCTAGCAACAGGACAGTATTTCTGTGCTTAGTCCTTCAGTAGCATGAATCTTGGACTAATTCAGGAACAGCTAATAGCCTCCTCAGAAAGACACCTCCAGTAGGTGTACATGGCATATCTGTAGTCTACAAATAATTGTTTCCTTTTGTGAGCCAGGTGAGACACCGGGATAGATTAAAGCTGACAATCTGAAGTATAACAGAGAAAACTGTGAAAGCATTACTTGGAAAAGGCTGTTGTTTATCTAAATGGATGTGAGTGAATCTAAATAATAACTACAGAGAAAAGCTTTCAGCACGGATTCTTTTTTAATTCTGTGGAAGTCACTCAAAGCTGCTTTGCAACTCTGATTTGGATTGCTCAGTCCTGTGCTTGCTGTGTCCACATGACTCTCATCAGCCTGTCTGTTGTTCCTATTCTTCTACCCACAAAACCTTAATTGACTACCCTTACAGAATGAGATGTGCGCTTCCAGTTTTGCAGCTCAGAGTCTCTCCCCAGTATTCTTTCACTGCTGAATCAGTTCTGAAGCAGCTGTTAGGGCTTTGTTTTTCTTCCAAAGCCATGACAAAAATAATTGCATAATGTTGATTTTTTTTTATTGCAGTTTTCAAATTTTTTTTTTCTAAATTTCTGCCTTTCTTCTATTGTGAGTTGTGGAAAAACTTGGGAGTTTGCTCTAAGCTAATTGCTTTGAGAGTTGCAAGACGAACTGTGATACTGAGGAGCTGCTTTGAACTCATGCAGTTTTAAAGGTTTGAGGACAACTTGGGACAGTACTTTTTTTTAAAAATAGGTCTTCCTGTTGTACATATTATCATATGTTTACATTACCTTTAACTGATGTAGAATGATAAGGCTCTTAGTAACAGATGATAAGTAGAGATAAGTGCTGTTTATGGGTTTAGGATGTAGTAGCTATAAATAATATTTGATACTTGTGTATTCTTAATGCTTTAAAATGCACCTGGCGAGGTCATTTGCAAAAGTAGTCTCTTGGCCTACTTTTGCTGCTGTTGACTTGATAGCGAAAAATTAGGCCAATACTTAGCACTTGTGAAAATTCCTGGCCTAAATTTATTTGTATTTGCTTCAGCCTCACACCTTTGTCTTTCTGAAATAGACCAAAGTAAGTGGCACTGTGGAGGAAAGAGGCACCAGAGGAAAGGTGGGCAAAATCATGGTTCTGAGGCCATCCTGTGACACGGGGAGTAGCAAAATGTATTGAACCTGAAGTTACTGGGTCACGAGGCCCTCAAAACAAAATTTTTTGCTACATCTTTTCTTAGTTGGCATAATACTGATTTTTATGCCTGCTTCAAAGTTGTAATTGCTCTTGTACCTGGGTAGCCTTAAGTTCCACAGGTAATATAAAAATATCAGATGCCCTAGAGAGGCCCAGTCACTGCTGCTGGCAGCCAGAATATGACGGTCAGTTTGGGATGCAGGATCAGTGTTTTCACACCTTCCTGGAAGCCTAAGTGGGTTATTGTTGAAGGGCAACAACAGTGTTCTTTTTCATGCCTGCACCTGAAGACAGTTTTAAAAAAGGAGCACAGAGTAGTTGCTGGAGCATGCTGCAATTTTCACAGATGAGTTGGGGCCATGTTCATTATTCATACACACTTTCATGTTCAGATCTGGAAGTCTCAAGGTAATCAGTTATATTACGGAGAAACACCAATAAAATAATAATAGCACACTTTGTAGAGAGGACACACATCACTCCTGTCTTCTTCAGGTCTGATAACTGAAGCCTTTTCTTCAGCCCAGGTAGTAAGTTAAATTGAAGGAATAAAGGAGTATTGAAAAGCTTGATTTGGCAAAAAAAAAAGAAAAAATATTTCAGGTGTTCTCTGTCAGATTTACCCCACCTGTCTCCTGCCCCTCGTTTAAGCACCTTTGGTTTGGTGTCTGAGTCACCTTCAGCTTATTTGAATTTTGGAAAAGTGCCTGTCCCTCTCTTTTTGTTTTGAAAAGGACAAATGATATTGCCCTAGGAGATCTTAAGTACTTAGTTAGGTGGCGTAAGTCCATGTCTAGATCATATCAGTGTAAGCAAGTAAAGCAATGCGGTGAAAGTGGCTCTTTGTAGTGGATCAGTTAAAAGTGAGGACCCAACATCTACAGCAGGATGGGACTAGTCAGGACTAGCTGTAGTCTGGTGCTGTGGAGCACAGTTCATCCAAAAGGGGTTTGGTTTCCATGTTCCAAGATGCACTATTCCTAATCTCAGTAGTAATTTCAGTGTAAAAACCATGCACAAGGCCTTGGCCAGAGGCAGGTCCAAGTTGGAGCCAGGGAAGCTTCTGTCAGCTTCTCACAGGAGCCACTCTGTAGCTGCTCCCATGCTACCAAAACTCTGCCACACAAACCCCATAAAGGAAAGAAATTCCAAAAAACACAAAGTGTTTTACTAGGGGTGTCAAAATGCTGCTTCTATCGATTAGGGTTTTGAACCTCTTCAAGAAATGATGAGTGGCAAACTTCAATAGCCGGCAAGCCCAGTTCAGGACTGTTGTGACAGTGCAAGCAAGGGGCTTGTGAAGTAGTGCCTCCCAGTTTCAGCAATGAAATTTCCCCTCTTTTTGTGGAAACTTCCTTTCCTTCCTCAGGGGTGGTTCTTGCACTCTTCCTAAAACGCAAATTCCTTGCCCCAGACAATAAAACCTGAAGTGACCCACAGTTCACAAAGCTCCTCTGCCACCCCAAGTTTTGGAAAGCATCACCCTTTTGTTATGTCCTCTGTTTTGTTTTGGTTTTGTTTTTTAAATATGCAGTTACCATGACAACTCTTGCCCGCACTGGAAATCCGATATTGGGAGTTTCTGGCATGGCTTTTATTTGCATATGTTGCAAACAGCACTGTTATTAAACAGACTGTTAATTATTCTTCCAGTCACTGACTGAGACAACTCGTGATAATAGTTACAACTTTCTGATTCGAGGTAAGAGTGGTCGTGCACAGCTCTGTGCAGCTGAGTTTGCATGTTCACAACTTTTATGTATTGCTCTTTAATACAGAGAGGTGGTTTGTTTTTTTCCCTTGCAACCTGAAGCCATGCTTGCTCATTTAAATTATCAAGGAACTTAGAAAAAGAGGTATTTTTTTGATTAGTCACCATCCTTTGTGTGAAATATTTTATTAGATGCTTTCTTCTCATTTTGAGGGTGTCTTGGTTGGTTTTATATAGATATTTATTATACCCTATGTGTGTATTTATTTGTCTTTTAAAAATGAATTTAAATTCTTAAAAAGATGCTTGATACCTTACTTTGTCCTCTGATTAAATAATGACACTTAAAGCATGCATTTAGGATCCAAAATTCATGTTGTTCCTGTTTGAGACTTGAAAATTTATCTTAGAGTGATTGTGGATTTAATTTCTAATAATGTGACTGCATTACTGTACCTCATGCTACGGGATGGCAGGAAGAGACAGACGGCATCTGATCACTTGGCTTTTTGTTTTTCTTTTCCCTTTTAGGAATTTCCATGGGATGCAGATCATGCCTCTTGGCTGCATTTGGGTAAAGGATGAGTTCTGCATTTCTCTCAGGAGTCTTCCACCACATTTTCTAAATTACCTTTTAATGGTGTTCTAAGTGAGCTTATATGAAACAAATGGTATTGGATCATGAGTGAAGAAAAAAGCTTTGGTGTATCCCAGAAAATGTTGTCCCCTTCAAGAAGCACAAGCAGCTGCTCCTCCAAGCAGGGAAGTCGACAGGTAATGCAAACTTTCCTAACCCAACTGAAAGCATTAGTAAGATTGGCTGTTAACTTTTGCTCTTGAGTATTGGCAAATCTCTTAAAGTCTGTTTTCCTGTTGCTTGCTTGGCTTATTTCCTCACTTCTTTGTTTTCCTTACTCTCTTTTCTTTGTTGGTAGCAGCATCTTGTTTTGAGTCAAATGCAATAAACGCACATTACTGAAGAGCAGGCACTGGTAAAAGTGGAGTGCTAACAGGGAATTTGAATCTCTGTCACACTGTATGGTGTCTTTATAGTGAAGTATTGCTGCTGTAGAGGCTTGCTCTCAGTGGTTTGATCCTGCAGTTCCTAATCTTCCCTGTAGGATACAGCTTTTGTGGTAGAATATTGTGTAACTGCTCCACCAGGGAAGGGCATGTGTGCATGTCTGAAAGAGAACATGTTTTTCTGAAACTGGATGTAGGGCCTCTTTGACAAAGAAAAAGTGCCAGTGAATGCCTGTGTGTGCTGGCTGTTGCGGCAGAACTGTAGTTAATAAGTATCTGTGTAACAGGGTGCCTAATGCAAAGTGTGCTTTGTCCTCTGCAGAGATGATGCTATTCTTTAAACCTTACCGTTTTAAAAGACATGTCTGTGAGTGTTTGTACCTGGCAAGTGAGACTCAAGAAGACAGCTTTTGTTTGTGGGCAAGAAACATTGACCTGCGGCCACACTGAGAAACTTCAACACGCTCGGTCCATGCTTACAAAATCATGAGCCATGTGCTCAACATAAACTTGTGTTTGTACAGATGCTGGCTTGGTGGAGCTCTTGAAGCTGCCTCGGGTTGAAATATTAATTACTAGGCATCCAAATCCCCCAAAAGCTTTGGAGACCTCAGCTGTGTTTTGAAATAGCACCTGCTTTTCTGGGACTTCTGGCCCTGTTCATAGAGTTGGCAAGGCTGATAAATCTCTGAACAGTTTATGCCTTCTGAAGTGCTGTGCTTGTAAGGAAAGCTGTGCATTTCTAGCAGACCGAGCAAAGAGATCCTTGCTTTCAGGATGCCTTTTTTGTTTTCCTGCAACGTTGTTATTTATGTCCTCGGTATGAGATTACTTTTAAAAACTGTAATTTAAAACATTTGGTATTGTCTGTTTCAACGGTTCATGTCTATCACGCGTTATCATGTATGACTTAATAAGATTTACATGAGCATGACTAAATCCACTGGTGTGTTACGCAGCCAGTATAAGTAACCATGCTTGTGGGAGGCAATTTCTGCAAGAACTTCGCTGACTGCCATTTAACATGTTCCAATCTGTTGGCTAGCTCAGGCTCTTGATACTATGGTTAGCAGGTCCGATTTCTTAGCCGTTTTATTCTCACCTGCTCTCTTTGGGAAAAAGGAATAATAGTAATGTTTAATGTCATCTTGTCAATCCCCAATTTTTTTTTAGTCTTTGCTCCTTGTACAAAAATGCAAGGTGTACCTGACCGAGGTGAGAGATGCAACTTGGTGTTTTGCTTGTATTCCTGGTACATCCATGCTCATTCCTTACAGTCAGGCAGACTGTAATGGCCTCATATGCCTATCAGGTCACGTTAAATGGAGGTATGAAGTAGGGTGTTTCCCAATGTATACTGAAGGGTGATACACTCGATATTTCTTCGTGATAATATGGGGCACTGTGATAAGTATCTCCACTTTGATCAGTGTTTCAGTATTAATCTTTTCATGGTCAGTCATTGCAATACCAAGTCAGTAACCGTGTACTTTTGTATCTAGGAAACGTACATGAGTTGACCGATTGTCCATGTTTTCAGGGGGTTGTAATGATTGAGGCAATCCCATGGAGGTTGGGGAGTTTGTGTGACTTGTTACATGCTGGGAAGTGATCACTAAGCTTGGCTAAAAGCTCTGATTACTTGCTTTTTCTATATAGTCTGAAAATTTAGAAACATGTTTTTCAGAAATTGCATTTGCTTTTTAAGGGTCCAATGGTCTTCCTGATATTTTTATTTTTAAATAGAGACTACTAATGTTTGTAAGGAATACTTTAATACTCTTGTTTCCTTCTTTACCAAGTGAAGTAGCTTTCTACCTTATCCTATAACTTTGCATCTGCTGAAGTGATCTAGAGGCCTTAATTCACAGTAGCAAAATTTAGAATGAAAAACAACATCATTCTAAATTACAGTTTCATTCAGAATTGTCGGTGTCTGTGTGCTTGACTCTTCTTTCCTCAGTTCTCTGATGTTTTTCACATGGCTGTTTTTTCCACACTGAAGTTGTCTTGCAACTTACAGAACAGTTTTGCTGGGGAAAACAAAGATTTAAATATCCTGTGCAGTATGCGTTCTGCATATTTACTTGAAAATACCTTGTTGGGTCATTTTCCCTTATGTTTTTTTAACTTATTTGTTAATTACAGTTTGTGGCAGTAGCACATTTCAGTGAATGTTTCGTTGGATATACTCCTATGTGCTGCATGTGGAAAGAGGGACCTTTAGGTCTAACAGAGGCAGTACTCTGCAAGACTTACTGGCCTTGACACAGAAGTCCTTTGATTGAGAAATGGATATCTTTCCCCTTTTCCTGCTCCCCAAAAGGCTCTTGGTCTTACAGATTGTATCTCTACCTTGCTAGATAGGCCCTCTCTTAGTGGTCTGAACTGTATAGTGTATATTATAAAACCTAAATTGTTGGTCTGGGCAGTGAGGATGTTGAGATCTTTCTTGTGTTCTGTCCCTTTGCCTCCACCCTTCCCACAGAGGATTTCTTGTCATACCTGACCAGGCAGTTTTGTTTATATATTAATTGTTTCTTTTCTCACTCAGCCTCTTGGATTGGTAAATTGGAGCATCACAGTCAATCCCTACTAATACCCACCTACTGGGGGGTGACAAGACTGGGGATGAGTGATGCCACTGTCTGAGTGTTATTTAATTTGCCCTTTTCATCTGCATGTTAGTTTGAATGACAGCATTCTGTTAAGAAAACAGCAACAATCTAAAGTTCTATAAATCTATTTAAAAAACCCTAATCTTAAAAGTACTACAGATTTTTTTTTTTCCCCAAAGCCCTGGTAGAAGAGTTCAATGTAACACTGTTACTGATACTTTTTTATTAATGGTATCATGAAAGTTTAAATAATTTTGCCATATGCTGTGCAATTTAGGGAATGAAGTACTATGATTTTGATATTCTTTCATCTTCCAGCTCCATGGGGGGCTTCTTATTCCTCCTTCTAACACTTGCACCTCTTCGGGACTTTCAGAGCTAGGCTCATTGCTTGCAGGTTCACTACAGATCTGTCTGGCAGGTGCTTTTCTCTGTGTTGCTGATCTGACACAGCAGTTCTTTTAATCTGATGAAGCAGAAAGAAACTGTGAAATGTGCAGGGGAAGGGACCTGGACAGCTCATATGTCTTTCCCCCCAAAATGGTGGGATCTGAGTTATGAGGCTCTCTGATTTCCTAGGCACAGACCTTGTTGCAGGTACACACTAGCACCAAATAATACTGTGCTGCTAAAGTGTAGTTATTGCTCCCTGCAGAGCAACATGTGTCAGTGGTGTAGAGTGTAAGTAGAGCCCTGTGATGCAGAAGATGAGCCACTGTGCCAAAAGAGTTGACTTAAGCAGGGCTGCGGGACTTGGAGAGGCTCCTTCTTTGCTAAACTTGGTGCCCTTTTTCTGCCAGATACAGCACATTTGCAGTGTCAGCTGAAGATGCTAACACTAAGTTCACCTTCACCTTAAAGCCCCGTAGCAGGTTGGAGGCTACTGCCTTGTCCCACTTCTCTGCTTTTCTCGTTCAGTCATGGAAAAGGATCTCTTCCACAAAGCCACAACTCAAACCGTGTTTCGTAAGGAAGGAAAACTGGTGGTGTTCTTCTCTAAATGTAAATTGACCTGTGATCAAAAGAAGGTATATTGTGTTAGCTATTTTTACGTCTAATATGTTAACTAACTTTTAAAATAGATTCATTGAGGAAAAGCTTTATGTCAGGAATGCTGCTTAAAAAGACTCATGTTCTAAAAAAGAAAATTAAATAATTTCTGCCAATTTTATGAACCGTAACAAATGCTTTAGTTGCAGCTGATGCCAACCCTTATCTTCCACAAAGCGAGTTGCTATTTTTGGCGCTTTAAAATATTCGGTACAACTGACTGCATTTTACGCTGGAAGAAAGTCTGGCACTGTCATCTCTTTCATTCAGGGAGCTGCAAGTGCCAAGCATTGATCTGAGAGCCATTCAAACTCATTACTTCATTCTTTCTCCCGAAATAATTCACCTTGAGGAGCTGTATGGTACAGAATATTGTAGAAAATGAGGAGGGTTTTATTTTATTAAATAAAGGCTACATTTACCTATTCGCAGACTTCTCTGTGAAGACCAAAGTGTATGCTTTTTTTTTTTTCTCCTTGGCCACAGAACAGGTATAAGCCAAGTAACAATTACAGGGTGAATTTCCAGTGATGAACTGAAATGAGCACCTCTGGACCTCAGGAAACTCAAGAGTGTGTTCCTCCTTCCCCCAACCTCAAGCAAAATGTTTGGCTGGGCAGCAAATGCAGCGTTGATCATTCTGTGCAGATATTGGCCCATAATGACACAAAATCTTTTGGAGTACCATAACCTTAAAACATTACCAATCTGGGCATCAGGGTTGCACTAGAATTGTTAATGCCGTTCATCTGGGGGTTTCGGGCAGGGGGCATGGTTGGTTGGTTGTGTTTGGTGTTTTTTTTTTTTAATGTAGCGCTGTGGTTTGGGGTATCTTTCAGTTCTGTGTTGTGGGATAAGGATCAGCAAAATGGAGTATAATCTGAATGCTTCCAGTAGCTTTCAGGAAATCCTGCGTCTCCAATTTGCCCCTCTGTTATTTCAGCCAGATGAGAGCAGACGATAACCAACTAGCCCGATTCATTTGCCTTCATTTTAGAGAATAAGCAGTTTTCCTTTGCTTCTGCAGCTGCTCCCAGCAACAGCCAACTGGCGCTCTTTCCTCATTGAATGAGATGTCAGGTCTCTCGCAAAACAAAATACCAATCAAGATCCTGTAGGGTTTGGATCAAGAGCAAACAGATCCAAAACGAGTCACAGAAACAGTGTTTTGAAAAATGGGAGAGTTTGGGTATTCAGGTGGGAAAAGGTGGGACTTTCTGGACCATGGAATGGTATGTGGAAGTGCACCAGATGCTGTTACTGCAGTGTTGGACTATGCATACATCCAGCAGTTCCCCAGACTTTCAATTCTCTGAATAGCAAGGCTACTCCTTGCCTTCCTTGGGTAACTTAGTTGCTTAAATAGTCTTGTGCTTTTAAAATGATCCATTTTTCATTCAACTAAAACTACCCTTACGTAAAGCTTGCAATTGAAGTGTGAGGTTCCCAGGGCAGAAATGTAAGAGATTTGCCTTCATCTGAGATTTGGCAGGCCATTGGGCCTGGTCAGTGGAAAGAAGGACTCCCACTTCATCTTTTCTTCCAAGTTTCACACTTTTTAACTGTGGAGGCACTTTCTTGGCCACCTCACAGACCAGAACAACAGTGAGAAATGGGGCTGTCCCACAGGAATGTGGGAAACACCTTGTGCTGGGACTGCAGGAGAGACCCAGACAGAATCTGAGTTGTAATGCAGGCCAGGATGTGCTCTGTATTTAAAAGTTTTACTAAAACTGTGTGACACCATGTGTATTTCAGATGGGTGCAATTGGCTGAGCTATTTCTCAGCTGCTTCCTTCTCTTCGCCTTGTATGCCCAAGGTAGCATGGGGCTGTCTCACCTCAGCAGTCCCTTTCTTTTTGTAGAAAGGTGAATCTGAATTCTTGTGGTTTTTTTGATTGTGCTCAAATTTCTGCTTTTCTCCTGCAAGCAGACGACTCTATCAACGATACACTGTGTGTAAGCTTAACCAAAGCCTGTGAGAGCTTGGTCCAAAGTTCAAGAATGTTGCTTCATTAGGCATAACACTGCAATATTGGAAAGGATCTGCTGTTCACTAGTCTTGACTGCTATCAGGTTAATTTTCAGTGGAAAAGTTAAGTGTTTGAGTACTGCAGTTAAATATATTTTGGCTAAGGCAAGGGAAATAGTTTGCTTAGTAATCAGGCAAAACAGCTTTTAAGCTTTTCTGGCTAATTTCGAGAAGAAAAATAAAAACATAAACACAGCATTTTTCTTAATCTTGCAGATGCTCCTGGTAGTTCTTAATTAGAATCATCTTTCACTAGTTCCATCAGGTTTCTCACTTTTTAAACTGTTTACCTTTTTCCAAGTCCCCAGTTTGAAATCAGCTAATGTCAAGATTATTTTTTGTATTGGCTCATTTAGTAGATCATATTTTCTGCAGAGATGAGATTTTATCCTCAGGTGGGCATTTAAGCAGCAGTAAGTTCAGCTGTTAGTTAATGTAAATTGCAGCATTACACTATGTTTAATGATATTATGACAGAGCGCAACTTATTCAAGTAACAGTCCCAAGCCTTGTGGAGGCTTAGAGCTGCCTTGGTGCTTGACTACCTGTCAGACTGCAGCTAGCAAGCTGTAGCTGGTTGTCCTTGCATGGGCACAGGCTGGCTCCCAGCCTCATTCTCTGCCGGCTTCCTCCTGTGAAAGACCAGTGCTGTTGGTCTCCAGCAGCAGCAGAGCCTGCGCTGCTGCGGCTGGTGTTAGGCTGGTGTGCTGGCAGCCTTCTGCACTCCCTTCACTAGCTCACGATGTCCATGAGTAAATGCTCTGTCCCCTGATGGGATAGCTTAGTAATTTACCCCAAAGCTGGAAAAGGTTCATGATTATTGAGAATTTTAAGTGAGTCCCAAGGTTGTAAATATAAAAAATAAAGAATATGGAGCGTAACTTCTGGTTTTCAGTAGCAAAAATATGATTTCATGGTCGTTGGTTAGAAATAATGGTATCTGAGCAGCTGTCAAAATACCTCTCAAACCGAAAGGAGCAAAGAAGCTATTTGTTACAAAACTGACAAGAATAAAATGCAAACCTGTAGGGGCACAAAACGGGTGCCATGATAACAGTTTGAGTTAGGACAGCTGCAGTTTTGGCTTGCCTTCAGGTAATAGAACATCTTTGGGTGGCCTATAGGGTGTTGAACGACGGGAGCTTCTGAACCCCACAGTTCTGCTGCTTGCAGGCTGTTGGGTGGTGCTGCCAGAGTGAACTCAAGCCAGGGAAGTGGAGCAGCTTTCCCATTTGTTCCATGGAATGCAGTGCAAGGAAGATAATAACAAAATAGCAGAGTGCTGCCAGTAATGTGGTGGAATAAGAGATCACATTCCTAAAGCTGTTTAAGCAATGTCTTTTTGAAGATGGTTTGCCATTATGCCTTCTTACTCAAGTAATGAGCGTATCACCTGGTGCAATTTTTTCTAGGTTTCTAAGGGTGAATTTTAAGGATTCCAGAGATGGATAAATGAGCACATTTGGTGGGTTGACCCTGGCTGGAGGCCACCACGAAGGCTGCTCTATCACTTTCCTCCTTAGCTGGACAGGGGAGAGAAAATATTACCAGTGGCTCATGGGTTGAGACAAGAACAGGGAGGGATCACTCACCAGTTATGGTCACGGGCAAAACAGACTTGACTTGGGGAAAAAATAATTTAACTCCAGTCAAATCAGAGTAGGATAATGAGGAATAAAGCCAAATCCTAAAACCACCTCCCCCCCCCGCCCCTTCCTGGGCTCAGCTTTGCTCCCAGTTTCTCTACCTCCTTCCCTGCAGGTGGTGCAAGGGGACAGGGATTTGTGGTCAGTCCATCATATGTTGTATCTGCTGCTCCTTCCTCCTCAGGGGAGGACTCCTCACACTCTGCCCCTGCTCCAGGGTGGGGTCTGTCCCACAGGAGACAGCACTGCATGGACTTCTCCAATGTGAGTCCATCCCATGGACTGCAGTTCTGCATGAGCTGCTCCAGCGTGGGTCCCTTCCAAGGGGTGCAGTCCTTCCGAAGCAGCCTGATCCAGCACAGGCTTCCCATAGGGTCACAACGCCCTTCGGTTAGCCCCCTGCTCCGGTGTGGGGTCCTCCCTGAGCTGCAGGTGGGTCTCTGCTCCCCCGTGACGCTCCATGGCTCCAGAGGCACAGCCGGCCCTCTCACCATGGGCTGACAGGGAATCTCTGCTCTGTCACCTGAAGCGCCTCCTCCTTCTCCATTGACCTTGGGATCTGCAGAGTTGTTTCTTTCACATATTCTCACTCCTCTCTCTGGCTGCAATTGCTCAGTTTTGGGGTTTTTTTGCCTTCTCAAACACAGTGTCCCTGAGGTGCTGCCACCATCGCTGGTGGGCTTGGCCTTGGCCAGCGCCGGCTGGCATTGGCTCTGTCAGGCGTGGGGGAAGCTTCTAGCAGCTTCCCACAGAAGCCACCACTGTACACACACCCAACCTTGCCACACAAACCCAGTACAGCCCAACTACCACTTTTGCTGATTTTTGTTTCGTTTTGTTTTAAAGTTTTTTTGAGTCAGTCAGGTTCTTTTTGAGAATTCTTCCCTATGTATCTTTCAGGGAAGACAAGTACTTACCTGTTTTGCATACTTCTGTTTTCCCCAAAGTGTTTCGTACTAGCCCTTTTTGTCATTAAATTCTATACGTTGAAGTGTTCTTTGTCTTTTTCAAATATATGAGGATGGTACTAGCACATGCCATTTCCTGTGAGTAGTTGTTCATAATTCTAGATCTTCCAAATCTTATGGTAACTGGGAATAAATCATGAGTTCTCTGATGAGAAGTCTTGAAACGCATGTTACATTGTCATTAGCAGTCATTCCATAAAGAACAACTGTAAAAATACTATGAGATTTATTCTATTCTCTGTTATATTGCTTCAGGATCTTGGATATCAGAGTTCCTGATGGCAAAAAAAGGGAGATCCTCTTTTAATTAGAGGTGTATCAGGTTTTAATTTTTCTCGTACTCTGCCTTTATGTCATATTCCTCATAGTACTTTAGTTACTTCCTTGGCTTTTAAATTTGTTTTTATTTTATTATTTTTACTTTAGGGTGGCTGCAGTTCACACCAAACACAAAACCTTGAGTTTACTCAACATAGGCAAAAGAGTTTTCTAGAAAAGATCTTAATTTTCAATGTCTCTTATTTCTGCCTCATAACCTACAGAACATACCATTTTAGTGCAGGCTGTTTCTGCCTGTGATGGCAGAAGGTTGCTTCTGCTAAATTGTGACTAGGCTGTGGCTATACACTGTGTGTATGTACAGAAAAATAGACATATAAAATTCTGGTAAGCACATACATTCAATGAAGCATGGTATCATAAAAACAGTATTTTTTTAGTTTGTATTGTTTCTTTCAAAAAAGAGTCTTGACTCTTGGAAGACACCTAATAAAGTGTAAAGATGGAGCTAAGGCTACACTTCGGCATCATTTGTTTTGGTTTTTTACTTATAGTCTTCATCCTCTTGAATCTCTTAACAATTCTGTTCTTTGGAAGAAGTAAGATATAGATTTAGATTTTTTGTTTAAGCAGGACAGCTGGGAAATTGTAGAAGGACTCCGAGGAGCAATGAATTGTACCCAGGAGCCACAGAAGCAGGAGGGCTGCTTGCTGAAAAAGAGGAAATGGCCTTTGAAGGGCTGGCACAAGGTAGGGAGGGAATGTGTATCTGAAAGCCTGATGCCATGTCAGTGGGACCTGCTTGCTGTGGTTTTGCGGCAAAAAGGTTAATTAAGAGTAGAGAAAGTGTTCTCCAAAGGGATAGGGATGGGGAGGGATTGTGGGGTTTTTTGTTTGGGAGGTTTTGGGGTGTTTTTTTTGTTTTTAATTCCCTGCATTTCTGGTTACAGAGATACTTCTTTTTGGACAGAGGGATTTTGAAGTATTCTAAATGCCAAGCTGATGTAAGTGATCTTAAACCCTTTAAGGCCATTATAAGGTAACAACACTATTTTACCCAAAATAACAGTAATTCTCTATTGTTGGCAGTGGGAAATAGAGTTTCAGCAGTTCTAAACAATAGGTTGAAGGGGGGAAAATGATGGCTTCAGCAGGTAATATTTATACTTTCGCTTTATTCTGGAGTGATTGTATTCCTTTTACGTTTTTGCAGATAGAGAGAGGGAAGCTTCATGGCTGTATTGATGTGGGACTTTCTGTCATGTCTGTAAAGAAATCTACAAAATGTATAGATTTGGATACAGAAGAGCAGATATACCATCTGAAGGTACGTCTTTAAGATCGTTATAACGCTTGCTCCCAAAATAACAACATTAGCTGTGTATGGTGGAGACCTTACGGGGTTTTTATTAATAGCAGGAGGTCAGTTAGTTACACTAATAACTTATCTTTTAGCGTCAGCAGACTAGTTTACACTTTATAACTTGTGAGGCCTTATTGTACTGTTCCAGAGTCAGTAACCCTATTCTAAATAGAAACTTTGAAGATGCTTCATGTTTAGCAGCACTCTTTTCCCCCAGCACTTCTTTCAGCAAAGGGTTGCACAACTTGTGACCCAACGGCTTTTATTTTTAGAAGTTGTGTCTTGTTCTTCGTCTTACCTATAAGAAGTATTTTCCACAGTCAAATGTGTAGATTTATCATTGTGGAATAAATTGTTTTAAAATACATCACCAAAATCAAATTTATCCTTGTGTCTAGTTAAACCTTGACTCAAACTTAAAAATGGCAATTAAGAAATGACAAATTAAATTTTTCTATTATTATTTTTATTGTGTTGGGGTGTTTTTTCCCATCTAGAAGTTGCCAAGTATTGTTTTGCATTGAAAGCCATAAGTACACTCTTGAAGTTTCTCTCTTTCTTGACTTTATCCTGTGATTTAGTTTCTGTCATGTTTAAGCTCATACAGCATGCATTTTAGTAGGAGAATCATCAGAAAAAAGTTCCTGATGTTTTGCCAACTCAGGTCAGCCAGGCTAGCTGGCTAATGGGGTTTTGAATTAGAATGTTATAAACCCTGAATTTTTGTGTAGGTGAAATCTCAGGAGCTGTTTGATGAATGGGTAGCAAAACTTCGTCATCACAGAATGTACCGTCAGAACGAAATCTCCATGTTTCCTCATGACGTCAATAATCTTTTCTTCCCTGTGTCTACTACTGCGGACTCTGTCCCTGGTTTTTGTGATTCTACGCCTGGTAGAAAGGTAATAGCTGTGATTTATATATAATGAGCTTTCATCAAGGATTAAATTAGTCTGATTTGTGTTTATGAAGTAAAAAGACCATAATGGAAGTTTGTGATGGAGTTGAAGTTATGATCTGAAATGTCAAGAGGAAAATGATGTTATTTATTGATTTAGTCCCATGCAGTTTTTTCTATGATGCTGTCAAATTTTATAATATTGTCTTATTGTTTTAATGCAGTAAATTATATTTTCATCATGATTTTTAAAACTGGATATTGAGTTGGAATCCTCATAATTTTTGAGACATATAGCAGCACTTGTCTGGTATGTGCTGGTGAATATTAGTCTGGGTCACAGAAGAGCACTCTACTAGATTATTTTTTCCTCTTTACCATTTTTTGATTTATCTTTTGGTTAATAAAACCTCTCCCCTTTTACATTAATGAATCTGTGCTTAACTGAGGAGTATATAACAATTATCCAAGAGCCAGCACCTGTGGCCACTCTTTATATCTTTAACTGAGGTAGAAGAGTTATTCAGACCAATCCAAGGACAGTGCTGTCGGAGGGTATGTGGTCTGGATGGGTCCAGTTGGCAGGGTACTTCTCCTTAGGTAAAGTCTGTGACTTCTGGTTTCACAGATGAGCTGACAAATGCTCAGCCTGACACCGTAACTGACCTCCTTGATGCAGTCTTATGAAAGAGTGGTTGTGTTCTGTGCCTGAACACAATGTCTGTGCCCAAGCAGTCCGCATGTTGACTGGCTGATGTTCACCCAAAGAAGCTCCTCTGCTCCAGTCTAGAACCAGCGATCTCTTTTGAGAATAATGTCTTTTCTAGCAATACTGTGTTATTTGCTGTAACTGAAATGGCTCTCTGTTTCTGTCAACTCCAGAAGTGTTTCCGAAGCAGCAATCACCTCTTTGTTATCCTCCTGTCTGAGGTTTTCTTTTCCCTGGCTATATTGCTGTATGATCTGCATGGCCTTGTTCCCCAATACCTGCAGTTCCTCACTTTGGTGGGACTGTCCTGTAACTGCGTATGAGTTCTAGCAAACACAACAATGTGCCTGAACAGCTTTTTGCTAGTGGCTGAGAGGTCGGGGACGTGTGCGAGCAGGCAGCTGGAAGAACAGTAACCCACCCTGCGGTAACAGGGCTGTTCTGCGAAGAGCTGTCTGCATGCTTCCCATGGTGCCCGCACCCCTGGGCTCTGACAGCCTGCTCATCTGAGGCTGTCTGCAAAGAAATGGCAAACCTCTTGCGGCCATGTAGTTCTTTTCTGCAGCAGGGATAGACGGGGGAGAAGAATATCAAGGGCAGAAGTGGGACGTTGCAAAGCCCCATGGTATCTCTATGCCTGCGCTTGCTCGCTCTTTCTCAGAAACAGTGACCAGCATATCTAAAATCTGTGCTCACTCTCAGAGAACTAACTATTTCTTCTTTAGCATGAAAACCTTTAATTCACTTCTAATTTATTAATCCAGATTTGCACTGCAAAGAAGCCCTATTTATTTTCATGTGAAAAATAGAAGGGGATAGTTCTTAAGCTGCAGTTAATCACCTTAGCTCTGCTGAAGCTATATGGCAGTTTGCCAACATACACCAGCCCTAGCTTGAGGTTAGTTGATATTGATCCAGCAGTTATTTTGGGAAAAATATTTTGAGTGAACTTGGCATTGCATTTTATTTGCTTTTAGAAACACCTGATCCGTTTTCACATCTGTTCGTTTGTTGTCGGGCGGTAGGTTTATGTATCTGCATATGTTTATGTGGAATGCTTGGATTCTGAAGCTTAGCCATGCTGATCAAAAGCAAAACTATACTGACTGGAGCTATGCAGATTCTCTTGTGCCTGTTTCTTGGCAATGCCTACTTCCTTCTTCCCTCCTGTTCGTGCTCCTCATGTACATGAATTCAGGAAAAATTGATTGTATGAGATAGATTTCTGAAGATACAAGTGTGGGATTTGTTCTCAAAATGCCAATACAATTGCTTATCTTTAAATTCAGTTTATTTATGGTGTTGAAGATGCTGGGATTATTATTTGGGTCATGTATAGATAACAAGCTCATATAGCCTTGTGTAGGAATAAAACAGCTGAACTGTGTATATTTAAAAATAAATGTGCTTATTGCTGCTTAATACTATAGCATACTGACTGTATACATTGATATAGTACTGAATGACATTACATGCATTTTATTTTATTCTGCAACTCAAATTGGAGTTTATATTGTAAATTTTAAAAGACCAACTATGTAAACAGCAACTGACTGAGATGTAGATGGTGTTTTCTATGACTAGATTTAAACTAGTACTACTTGAGTTTTGATATAAGGTGAGCAAGAGGTAACAAAGTTTGTAAAGTGTGTGCTTTAGAGAAGAGCCAAACAGTTCAGTCAGCTTTTCCCATAACCAGTCAAGTCATTATTTAATTAATTTCATCATTTAGGATGAAATATTTTAAAACTAATTTTAAACAAGAATACCTTGTTTAAAGATACAAAAAATTCCTGTCATAGACATTATTGAAGATGAAAGGTTTAGCAAAGCCTAGAAATAATTAGGCATTTGAATGGCCATTATTTGTAGTTACATTAGAGAGGAAAACGGCCACAATTTACTATTAGTAGTATTGGGTAGAAATTTCTCCCATTGGTCACTATTTAATTGTATTGCTGAATTAGCTCTTACGCAGAATTTCCAGCATTTCCTGAAGCATCTGGTAGTAGGCACTGCTGAAAACAAGATAAGTTTGAAAATGCTTACTGAGACATTGTAAAAGGCTAGTATTTACCCAGATGAGGTGTATAGTCACACACGTATTTAAGGCTTGTCAAGCCAAATCCATGCTGAAGTGATACAACCTTTAGTAAATATTTTAAATACCATCTAGTAGATCTTGCTTTCTTCACTACAAAATAGCTTTAACAAATATGTGCATGTTACATTTGAGTTACTTTTGGGTCTTCTTTGGGGACCATGGAGAAGGAACAGAATGTCTAACTTTGGTCCTGTTCAGTTATGGTGCTTTAATTGTATTAAGTTGACTTAATTGATGCAGAACTTTGCCCTTCCTCATAATTTAGTTTTTACCAATTTTTTATGGTTCCTTTTAGTATTTCCACAGCTTGTGGACAGCAGTTAGTATTAGTTATCCTCACATTATGCTCAATGACTATACACCTAGTGTAGTTCATATACTTTTTTTCCCTCCATGTTATTCATGCCATCAGTCCTTGTCCCTGATTGTGGGCCTCAACAGTTGGTTGTCAAAATCTGTGCATACAACATTAAAATATTGTTCGTTAATAATTTGCTTATCTTTTTTGGTACAGGCAGGCAGCTTGACCAAACAGAATTCGTTGTCAGCTGGAGGTAACTTGTCATTTTCCTTTTCGAGTAATGATTCCAGGATTTCATCTTGGCTGCAGTCTTCTGAAGACATAGAAAAATGCTCAAGAGGTAATGGTATTTGAAAGAAGTTGAAAGTAGCCTAGTATTTCCCCTATTTTTTCTTGACAACAAGAGTACTACACCATAAGTAGTCACTGCAGTTAGAGTTTTCTCTGAAACTGTAGGGAGGAAAGGAGTGGTTGTTGATGAACTGACCACTGGTCCTTTTGCAAACAAGACAGTTTGGGGTATCAGTTGTGGGTACCTCTTGAAGGAACGTATATATTTCAGTACATTTTATTTTATATACGACACCACCTTCAGTAGTAAGATTTGAACTTTCTTAAGCTGAGTATTGAAAAAGGGAAACATCTAAAACCTAGTAATTTAAAAAGCACTAAATCTCTGTGCTTCGAATTCACCTCTTGCTTTCACGCTTTCCTAAGAGCATGAGGATCTTTCTCATGTTGGTAGTGTCTGTGTGATACTCCTTTGGTAAAGTTCTACCCACCGGTGAGCTCCAGCTGTAATACAGAGGAGCCTTATTTCTAGCTCTGAATGTGCAATTCTGTCTTAATGCCTATGGCATTGTTACCCTCACCATGAGGAGCTCTGCAGTAATTACTGCAGTAATTATCACATTACTCTCATTTTTCTGCAGCTACCTAGGATAAAATATCGTGATCATTATACACACCATATCGATGCATTTCAGTATTTTGGACTTGAAGATAGAAGGATATAATAATGTGTGTTTAGTCAGTGAATAGCTTATGCTAGCTACAATCAAAATAAGACTAATTTACAAAGAAGAAGAACTTTCAGTGTGTCTGTTACTTTAGGGCAACTGAAAATATTCTCTTGTTCAAAACAGACCTCTCCAACTGTCACACATATTTACTGGAAATGAACCAGCTGTTACAGAGCATGGATGTTCTTCACAGGACATATTCAGCGCCTGCTATAAATGCTATGCAGGTTTGTTGTTTAAAAAAAAAAAAACCCAAATCAAACCAAGTTTTCCCTTGCAATTCCAAAAAACAACCCCAGATCCTAAAGGATCAAGGTATTTCTTCTCAGCTCTGCTAGTTTTATGGCAACCTGTATTGTTTTGCTCCTGTGTGTTGTTAAAAGGTTGGACCTTTTGAAAGCCCAAAGAAGGAAAAGAGAACACACAGGAGGTGGCGATCCAGAGTTGTTGGGAAAGAGGCTAAAGGAATGTTACAGGTAACTTCAGTCCTTTCAGTGCCCACCTTTCTCCAAATCTTAGTTATTGATCACTTCTTGGTGTAACCAGTTTAGTAAATACAAATCCTTTCTAAGTTGTGTCCCGTGCTAGCTCATTTTAAACCGTAATGTGTCAGACAAAACACAAATATGTTGTCACTGATATCTGCAATAGTATGTGCGCTGCTGCCTTCAGGAGACTGGCAATGATTTTAACCCATGTTTCCAATATGCCTCCAATCTGGGGGGTTGTGGTCTTGGGTTTTTTATCAGTACAGGTATTTTCAAATAGTTCATTTGCATCCAAAAGCCATGTAATTAGATACTTATATCTAGGGGGGGAAAAAGTATAGCCTATGCTGCAGCTTTCAATGGGCTTGTTTTTTGGAGTTTTGCCAAATCTCCAGTTATGATATCTTGGGCAAAGTCATATCTATGGTTTCATTTGCCAGGTGTCATCCTTTCCGAGCCTATTGGCAATTGACAGTAGGTGTCTCTAACATGTAAACCTGGTGGGTAGAGTAAACCAATTTTCTTTAGAGTTTGTAAGTCACAAATGGGTATCCTCCTTTCAGGTGCCTTCAGTATTTTCTGCCCCTATGAGACTGCATGCTTCCAATCCTAACTTATCTACAATAGATTTTGTAGAGGAGAAAAATTACTCCGATGGCTCTGAAACACCATCAGAATTTACTAAAATGCAAGAGGACTTATTTCACATTGCACATAAAGGTAAATGAAGTTGTCTTTCCTATGTGGTTTTCGATCATCATAATTTAAATAAAAATGTGACTTCTGAGATTGCTTCCTGTTTAATGTTTAGAAAAAGCAGAAAATGCCTTCCCTTCCTTCAATTCTCTTCAGGAATTAAAGATGTTGAGATATTGAGTAATTTGAAAAAAAATGGCTTAATCATCACATTTTTTAATTCTTTTATTTACTAAGGGGCATCCCTTTATTCTATGTGCTACAAACCTAGATTGTATTTTTTGCCAAAAGGTAAAAATCCTAAAATCAGTCGCTATAAGCACAGCAGCAGATTTATGCTCTTTTGTGTGTGCATGCATATGTGTGTGTATGAGCACATGTATTTTGGTACATTCGGTGTGCTTCACTGTATTTCGGAGTCAACATTTGTTGGTGATGCAAGGGTTGCTATGGTAGTAACCTATTTTTAGTGAATACGGAAGAGCAAAATCATGTAAAGCAGCCAGAGGGGCAGCTTGACTAGAAATGTTTGTTCTCAGACTAATTTTTCATTAGCAGTGCTTTGCTCCATCACCCTCACACCAGCAACATTTTTATTGTTTAGTGATTTGGTGAGGAAGGCACTTAATCATTTGAAAGTTTTGGGAGTATTGTCTTTGTCTCGTTTTGCACAAGATAATGGTTGATGTTATCGATAAGCATTCTTTGCTTGGTTTTCCCCTCTAATGCTGATGTATCTTGATTGTGTTATGTAAGAAATGTATCTTTGTAAACTTTATAAAGTCAATTAGAGTCAAAACTGATGTGTGCTTTCCAAAAAGAGAAAAGAAGTGGGGGTGGGGTGCAGCTGGAAAAGTTGCTGTTAAGAGAAGCAAAGAAATCACCTACTCAAGATCGTCTTACCTGAAATGTCATGTCAAAAATTTTAGACTGACCCATGCATCGAGTGGACAGTTGACTTGGTACTATTTATTATGGTATTGTTTTACCAAGAGTACAAAGAGGTTTTTTTCTAATGTTGCTTTATATCACACCCCTTCCAAAAAGGGGTAGTGAAGACAAATTTTGCCTTAGCTTTTGATGCAAATTAAATGAAATGTAGCATTAGTAATTTAGTATGTAATAATTCTTGAAAATTTAAGTTCATATACAACTTATTAAATGATATTTAAGGTCACTGAAGATTTACTGATGTCATCTACATATGAACAGCTAACATAGATCATGGTGGATACCTCTTTCTCCCCACTCCCTGTGACACTGTTTAAAGATTTCTTCAAATATGTTAAGGTATAAGAATTAGCTTTGGTGATGGTTTGCAGTGTTGAAATATACCTTAAGAGTATTTTCTTATAAGAGTATATTAGGTTACATCACTCAGTGAAGTGATTTTGACTCAAGTTAACTCTGAGTGGATGATTAGAAGATAGAGGTGTCTCAGATTTCTTGTTCTCTGTCCTTTCCACTCATCGAGGCTCAGATTTTATATCTATTTCCCTGTAAATGGACACATTTTTGCAGTGACAGTTCTCATGACTCTCATGTATTACAAGGCTTGATTAGGCCCTCAGAAATCCTCTAATTCTCCAGTTAGATGAATATTGAAATACTGCAGAAACAAATATTACTGAATAATTTTTTATTCCGTGTTGCTAAAGAAATGACTAAATGTCTTAAAAGTGAAAAAATAAGAAAAGTGCATTTCCCCTTTAAAAATCTAGTGATTTTAAAATTGCATGATCTGTTGTCTGATTTGAAAGTTTTCAGGCTGGTAATACTGGCTCAGGAAGGAGTGGATGTAGCAGTGTAACGTCCACAACACTAAATCATCTAACAAGCTGAAATGTCTTTATCCCCGAAAGAGATAACAAAACTCAGCACCACAGTTGACTTGCTTGTGGGGAAACTACTAACCCTATAGCTGTGGCACAGTATGTGTTATAGCTGCTTTTTAATTATTTTTTCCTATTTAATTTTTTCTTCTTCCCTCTCTTCTTCCTCACTGGAATTCTTAAAAGGAATATGGAGTAGAGTCATGACCATCTGAAGAGTCAAGCTAATTGGGGAACAAAAGAAAGTGAAGAGCAGATGTGGTTAGTTAGCTTTGTTGCCATCTGTCACAAGTAATCAGAGTAATTTTGACTGTGGCTAATATAGTCAACACAGTAGCATTCACCACCATAAACATTTCTCCTACTAAAAAATCTACCCTATAACCTTGATTAATATTACTTGGTTTTAGTAACCCACCCTGGATCTCTCAACCTAAATTCTTGTTTCTGTCACCATAAACGATGCTTCATTGAAGTTTTACATGATTGGTATGTATACAATTGATAGGTGGTTTTAACTGTCATTTTACAAAATGGTTCTAGTTTACTTCACCTTGAGGTCAGCTTTCAGCACCATTTCTACAGAGAGAGAAAAGCTGAAGCAGATGCTGGAGCACGATGCATCCTCGTCTCCATCTACGCAAATAGTTGGCTTGAAGAATGCCTTAACATCCGTAAGTGCCACGCTGAAGTTCTGTGAGCTTTGTTTGTCGTCAGACCCTGCTTTTGTGTTTTACAGTAGTTAATTTCTGGGTTTTTATGTCTGTTTCGTGCTAGAATGTGAAGTATTGAGGCATAGTAAGTTATTATATATGGTGTTTTTCAAGGACTGTTTCCTAAATGTTAAAAGTAATGTGAAATTACTGAAGTTTGATAGATAGATTTAGACAAATAGTAAAATCTGTATCATTTGATGTTAAATATCAGAGGGCTGCTCTGTGATAATGAGTCTACATTCTCTCAAAACATATGCTCTGTTTAAACACTTAGTTCTGGTAGGTTGTGGGTTTTCTTTTCCTTTTTTTTTTTTTTCCTAAACAGCACTCCAGTATTCATTGTATGACGACATAAAATCAGTGTGAGAGTAGTGGCTGAAAGCACCCAGCTGGCCCTTCTAATGCACTGGAGCTTCACCATGCTGCACCAAGACATATTTATACTGACTTCCAACCTTAATTATCTGTTACTCACCTAAAAGCAGCAGCGGAGCTGTTAGGGCAGTCGTCTTAATGACAAAATGTGCTCTTTAAAAAGATGAGGGTTTTTGGTTGATGTGGTTTTAGTAAATAGTGGATACCAGAACTTTCAGGTTGGTCATGTTTGAATATGTCAACCAAATAATGATCTGATTTCAGAGCAGGGAGGGCCACCATTACCATGGTCTTAAAATTTCAGTGTTTGTTATAAATTCCTAATCAGAGCCAGGCATGACTGTCTGGCATTGATAAATGTGATCTAGACAATTTTAGAATTATTTCAATATGAAAACTTCCCATTTCTTTACAGGATCATAGAATTGTTTGGATTGGAAGGGACCTTAAAGACCATCTAGTTCCAACCCCCCTGCCATGGGCAGGGACACCTTCCACTAGACCAGGTTGCTCAAAGCCTCATCCAACCTGGCCTTGAACACTTCCAGGGATGGGGCATCCACAGCTTCTCTGGGCAACCTGTGCCAGTGCCTCACCACCCTCTCCGTGAAGAACAACTCCCTGATAATCTGATCTAAATCTCCCCGCTTTCAATTTAAACCCATTACCCCTTGTCCTGTCACTACAGGCCCTTGTAAAAAGTCCCCTCCCAGTTTCCTTGTAGCCCCTTCAGGTACAGGAAGGCTGCAATAAGGTCTCCCCGGAGCCTTCTCTTCTCCAGGCTGAACAAGCCCAACTCTCTCAGCCTGTCCCCAAAGCAGAGGTGCTCCAGCCCTCATGCCTCTTTGCCTAGAGGTGTAGTACTTGGAGAAAGCTGAAACCTGTTGCGTAGTAATTATATTCACCCACTTACACTTCTTCGGGTTTGGCTTTCAGGTGTTCTACTTCTGATATTTGAATAGGTGACTTATTTTACCAGTGTTATTAGCCTACCCTTTTATATCAAAAAATCCATTTTAAGATTTCTGAACTCAATGAACAGCACATTTTTTTTCCTGAGCAATGAAATTCTCTTGTCCATCCTCATCTTCTAAATGTCTTTTTAAAAAGTCATGCTCTTAGGTCTTATCTGATACTTAATAATCCTTCTGTGGCCCATTCAGAAGTGATCTGTGAACCTTGGCAGTTTCAGCAGAAGTTAACACCTATGGGAGAGCTATTCTTAGCCCAGATACCGACAAAAGTTTTTTCAGCCTGTAGAGCCGAGATCCTGTGGGAAAAAGGAATAAGCTTCTTTCAAAGACATATGGAAGCACAGATGTGATAAACTTGACATATTTCTAAGCTTCCTTGCAAGAGGGTCCTGCGTTGGTGACTTTGACTTGGTGTTTGTTGTTGTTTGTTACTCACGTACAGAAAACAAACTGAAATGAACAGTCAGACTCACAGTTTGAAAGCTATCAAACATAAGTCAGTCTTGCTCTCGTCAGCCTGGCAGGGGAAGAAAAGTAACAGACTTAAAGTGGATAAAACACCACAGAACTAGCATCTCTGCCTCTGCTTTTTTCTCATTGAGAGAGTATCCCTGACCTATGCACAGTCTAAGACAAGCAAATACAGAATGGGGAAAAGGACAATATTTTTATTGTGGGTAGGAAGAAGAAAATAGAAGGAAGAAAACACTTTGTAGCAAACAATGAAAATTGGAAGATGCTATTACAGGAAAGCTCTGTAAATTCTTTGCTGCACTTATTTGATGTTGTAGGTATAGCACAGTCCTATCCACTTGAACTCTTGACACAGAAGTGATATATGCCTGTATGGCATATTCAGACAACACATATGTAAAGCCAGAAAATACTTTCTCCCCTCCACCATCACTTTGAGCTTACTGTCTTTCCTGCCCTCAAGATGTCTTATTTCCAACAAAAATTACTGTCAGAATCAGAAACATTTGTGCACAAAGTGGATGTGTAAACACCAGGGTTCTCCAGATCCTAGTATTGATCCAGATCACCGAAGTGGGCAGTAAGTCTTCAGTATTGTTCCAAAATCAGTAACCTAATCTTTTTTTTCAGTGATGTTTTCACTGCAGTCAGGGTTGCATTCTCTTTGTACAAGTCTGCTCTAACAGACATGTGTCCATCAGATGTGCCCAGCTTGAGTAAATAACATGTAACAAATTTGAGTTTGCAGTAGAGGCTTTTTATTCTGATCATTGCCACTATAAGCTGATAGGACATAAATTGTAGCTGTACCTGTCCGAATTTGTCTTATTTCTCTGTCAGTGGAAGGTAAAGGGAACTGTCAGTATGCCAGGCTGATGGAAAAATGAAATGGGTTTAGATGTAGCAAGAGCAAGAATAGATGTTGAAAGAGGCTAGGTTGGAGATAGGGGTGAAGGAAGGGAGCTTGAAAAGAAAAAATATGCACAAAATTTATTTATGACTTATCAAATAACCTTGCAAAACCTGGTAACTTGAAATATCCCTGCCATCTTTGCGTAGTTTTTCCAATTATGTGTCTTTTCCCTTGCACTGAACAAAAAGAGTTTTGAGAGGTACGGAACAAGGTTTGAAGCATTTATAACAAATGATTTGCTGAAGCAGTAACAAATCATGTAATGGTGGTGCTTTATACTGCACTTTAAATAGTCTTTGCCCCTTTTTACACAATAAAGTCACGTTCCAGTTAGTTGAGAGAACTTTATATCCCCAATATTTTTGTTAAATATTCCAGGCAATAGCACAAAACACAGATCTTAAAGACCGGTTACGCAGAATACATGCCGAATCTATGATCCTTGATTCAGCATCTAATGCAAAATCAAGTCCAGATTTGGTAAAGGTGGGTATGGATTTCCTCTTTCAGTGATGTCTCTTCCTCAAGCCCCTACATCTAGACAGTGCTGCGTAGCTGCATCTTGTCCTGTTCCTCATGTCTTCCCGGTGGTGTATTGTGTTAGTATAAACAAGTCTGGTTTCATGGTTATGAGTCATTTCTGGTGATGTATTTGTGTAATATTTGATGGCAAAGACTTCCCTTGTGAGCAGTTTTGCTGAGCACACTTCCATTGCTTTTTGCTCCTGTCTCCTGGTGTTCTCCCTCGACTCCTGCCTGCTTCCCATTCAGCATGAGCAGAGCTGCAGCCTTGTTATCCTCATGCTACCGTTTCTCTCTCCCTTGTTAACTTTCAAGTTCTGTACCTTCTGTTGCCTGTCTAAATATTGTTAGCTCAGAACGCTGGCTATCAGTGTGGCTTGTTTAGAAGAACTATAAGAGATTTCCATGAAAGGCTCAAAGAAATGAGATGTACAAGAGCCCTTTCAACTGTTCGGTTTCCTTCGTGTGAAGCCAGGGACCCTTCTGCACACCCAGTTAACCAGCTTGAGACGTACTGATGTTCTGACAGTTTTTTGGCTTGATGCAGAATGCATGTGATTGTGGTGTATTTATAGGTCTAGGAGTTAATGGTGCTGGTGAGGGAAGCAAGAAATGTGTTATTTCTGATGGATTTTCCTAAGTGTTAACTTACACAGAAATGTCTGATGTGCTTGTAGTATAAATATTTCATTAAAACTTGAGTGGATGCGACATCGGGGGTTTTATATAACTTATTATTTCCTTTTATTTTTAAAGACAGTTTAGTCACTCCATCTGTTCACTTCTGGTTTAGTTCTGTTTTAGCAGAGCTGTGTTTTGGTCATATTTAGTTGGGTGGTGGCTTGTTTTTGGTTTGTTTGTTTGTTTTCTTTAAGGTAGTTGATCATTCTAATGCCTCTTGCTTTTAGTCCCCTGAGAATTTGCACAGCACTTAAACTGCCATCCCCAGACAAGCATTAATGCATTGGGGTTTAATTTCAGGAGTTCTTTATTTTCTTATTTCCTGAAGGTCCTTGCAATGACAATGAGTTATTGCTGAAACTTGTTCTAGGCACTATATATATACACACACCAAAAATAGCTTTCAAATGGTCCTTTAGAGGTTTCATTCACAAATTCCCTCTGGCATGGTTTGGGATGGAACTTTGGGATGAAATCACTTATTCTGGAGAAGTTTCCTTTTAGATTTGTCTGAGGACTGTGATACAGTAGTGCTGCTGTGAGGAGGACAGGGTTGCTGCACAAAACTTGGCTCTAAATGCTGCATCTGAATGGTAGACCTGTGAAAATTGAAGCAGTATAAACTAGTATCTCAGGCCTTTGAATAAGGTAGAAGTTTAGTTTGTCTCTTGGGCAGTTTATGTTGTAATTTATCATGCCAGAGTGGGAACATGAAAGAAGACCACGTGGAACTCTTATGTGGTAGATACAGAAACCTGCTGTTCTTTTATGAGACTTTCCTGCTCACTTTCCTTCTCAGATTCAAAATAGTATTGGAAACAATCCCAGTAGCAATGCTTATGTGTATAAGATGTTTTTTTCACTTGTAAGCTAGTGTAACTGCCTTCCCACAGAAGAGGCAATATTGAGGTTTCCTCTTTTCTTGCTGCTTTATCAGAAGTATCTATTTAAAAAAAAAAGTGTCTTGTATGGTAACAGTTTGGTTTGTTACCATGTCACCACTATCAGCACGTACTGAATAACATCCCATACTATAGTGAAATCTACCAGCAGGAAAGCTTTGAAAGAAGATTTGTCAGTTTGATTATAGACTTGTCATACTGTTCATGATTTGTTCTGAAAGTAAAACACTACAATTCCTGCAAAATTATGACAAGATAGTCGTGGGTGCAAGTTAGTAAAGCATCTCATGCAGAAAAGCTTGAAGGCAGCTAATAAACTCCTTCGGGCCAGCCCTTTTCCTTAGCATTGGTTAGTAGGGAAAACAATAGTGCACAACCTTCTCCAACTTCTCTACTGCATCCATAAAATGAACGAAGTCGCACTGGTCACCCCACCTTTGCTAGGCCACTTTTTGGAACTCTGCTTACAGCAGCGACCTTCAGAGCTTCCATGGGAGGAGTAGCCGAGACCTCGGTGGCAATCAAACGTGCCTGCAGCAGCAAAAGCCAGGTTACTTACGTAGCTTTGATAATATCCTGGGTTTGGTTAACATGGAGCTGTCTCAGGTGCGGATATGAAGGAAAGCGCTCTGTGGAAAATTGGCTAGTAGCAGGAGAGCTAGGAAAGCATTGCTGTTATATAGAAAGCAACTTTGCCCGTCTGTTTTGTATGCCGCTGCACTGGGAGGAAAAGACTAATTCATTTGCTAAGATCAGAAGGGAATGTGAATCTAGGATGTAATATGAAGAGATGGGATTTTTGTTCTTTTGGGGGCTTTTTGAAGATATGCTTGTGTATATCTGGCTAAATCACTCATATATCAAAGCATTTTTACTTTATTTCCCTTTTGTTGTTTGTTTTTTAAGGGCAGAGTACATACAGTGCCATAACTGCTTTACAGACTACGCATTGCTGGGGTTTTTTTTTCCTCCTTTTTTCTTCTTCTCTTTGCTCTGTTCTACTTTAGTTTCAGATCCCTCTGAAACACATGCTACCTTTCACTAAATTGGAGAGGAGCATGTGCAACCCTCTCGCAGTATTTTACAATTAAATAAAGTTTAAACTTTAAAAAAAAAAAGTAACTTAAAGCCCTTTAAGTTACATGACTATGGAATTGCATGCATGAATGCTATTTGTGGTACTTCTCTGAAAACTTTATTTCTTTTAAACAGGAAAATTCAAGAGAAGAAAGCAGAGGTCTTGTTCACCAGGTCTCCAATGAAAGCAGGCTGTCCGTAGCTGACTCTCTCACAGAATTTTTTGATGCACAAGAAGTCCTACTATCTGCTAGCTCTTCAGAGAATGAGGTCTGAGCATTAAGATTGGCATCATTCTCATGTCGTTTATCTGCTATTTGACATGCAGTGTTTGAGTGCTAACTGTGCGTCAGATGACCGCCAGAAAATGACAGTTTTCAAAACATTTAGAAATTAATGTGCTGCGTGTATTTCCTTGTTGTCATTTTCTCTTCACAGTAAAAGGTAACAGTTATCATGAAGAAGTCTCACATGCGTGCTGAGGCAAACGGCAGTTGGGTAGCGAGTACGCAGGTACTGCGTATATTGTCCTGCCTGCCTTCAGTCATTGTACAGGTGCTTAAGAAATTGTATCATAGGAATATATATTCATACCTGCCCTTGTGGTACCTGTACGTACCCTGGGCCCGATGTCATGCCTAGTGAAATCTCAGACTTCAGGAAAAACCTTGGCTTTTGATAGCTGCCTTAGCGGTGGGGCCAAGATGAATCATGTCTCCACTAAAAGACTATCTGAATTTTCAATGATGGTGATCTCTCCCAAACTTAATTCTGTCTTCTTAGGACTTCTTAGTACTTTCCTGTAATATTGATACTCAGCTTAAACAGTTCAAATCTATTAAAATAATAACGGCAGCTAGAGGTGACATTTCACGTGCCTATGAGGTTATTTTAATGAGTGACGTATCTTGCTTCTTTCCCCACCGCACACTCAGGCATCAGATGATGACTCATATGTAAGCGATATCAGTGATAATGTCTCAGAAGATAACCTCAGCAATGACATGGAGAATGAAAGACAAACTTTAGGTAAGTTCAGTGACTTACATACCATGTTTGGGGAATTTTCTGTGTTTCTTTTTGTTTGGGATTTTTTTTTCCTTCTCTTCATAGAATTAATTTGAAATTGCAGGTTTTAAGATGCAAACAGCCTGGGGTTTTTGTTCTCTTATAGCCTCAGATTGGTTTTAAACAGCACATTCTGGCTAATCTGATTAACAGGGCCCAGGTACCATTCATTAAGCAGGATGGTGGTTCTGTATCAGCAGAGAAACACCTATTTTCTTGGCTTCTTTGATGCAACCCCCATTACTTTTCATTTCCTTTCATGCCCACAGGACTTGGAAAAGTAGCAAGACCTGGCTGCTTTCTTTTTTTCACAAAGTGATTTTCTTCTTGTCACACTGGTTTTTTAGTCTGTGTTTTAAAAACACATTCAGAGTTCTGTTGTTTTCAGCAAAACTTAGAAGTTCAAAGGAATATGAGAATAATTATGCACTGGCAGGCCTGGTGTATGACCATAAGGATTTTTTTTTTTTAATGTTTTGATCATGATAGTCTTGTTAGGGAGAAGAATTGGTCATAACAGACTAACTGACTTTTTGTGCCTTCAGCTCCTTTCAGTTAAGCTCAGTGTTCTTCCCACTCTGTCAATGTATTTTTATCTTCAAAACTGCTGAACAGTTGTTTCTTACTAGCAGCTGTTTCCTGATCATCTCCAAGGACCAGTGAATCCCTAGGAACTGGGGTAGTTTGAAATGCCTGGAGATCTGTTGTATTCTGTAACTGTTTAAAAATTAAGTTTGGTTGGTTGGTTTTGGGGTTTGTTTGGTTGGGGTTTTTTTGTTTGTTTTCTTGTGTTTGGGTTTTTTTTTTTTTAAGGTAGGAAGGAATACAGATTAATTAATCTCATGATCTGTCTGGACCTTAGAAAACTTAGTGTGGCCGCTCATCTTCTTGTAACAAAGAGTGTTACAGAAGCTCTTCTGTGTTAGCAGCACCTCCACATGCTTCTGCTACCTGCTATTTCTGTGCTTTGGGCAGCCTGCCACCCCCATGAATAGCTAACTGGATGTCTTTTTCCTAGAGGGCTTTAGCTGAAGCATAAATTGTGGGATTATGATAACATCCTCTGGCCTCTGTAATGTAGAAGGTCAGACCAGATGATGATAATGGTCCAGCCTGGCCTTAAAAGTCATTGAGTGTAGCTGGAGGTCAGATGTCTTAATCTCCTTCAGTATTGTGGCTGGCCATTTGTCACAGCTCTTGCAAACCAGAACTGCATGGGCTTTTCTTTTCATGGAGTGCAGGCAAACTGCACTGTACAGAAAAATTGGCATCTGAATATCTCAGTTATTGCTCTACTCAGTTTTATCACTGATTTACCCTAATTAATGGGCTAGTCTAGAAAATGTAGTTCAGTCACTTAGTATTCTGCTTTTAATCAGGAACTGTCAAAGGACATAGCCAAATCCCATTTCAGAGAGCTCTTTTGAACTAGGTTAAGTTTTTAGCATTTGCATCTTTCCAGATGTCTCATCATTCCTGAGGTATCTAAGGGAACATCCTTCTTTTTGACCTCTTCTGATAGTAAATAAATTCTTCCAAGAGAGAAGTATAGGATCCAACCTCTTAACAGTATAATTGTTGCGGGTAGATGTTTTTGATTCATAGTGCCCATGCCATTTTTATGCAAACACAGAGTGATAGGCAGTAGGCTGCGGTCATATGAGATACCAGGACTTTTAGTTTGTGAGTGGCAGGAAAGATGGAAACTTCTTCCTCCAGACTTTGAGGCTGCTAAGTACACCTGAAAACCTCCATCTGAGGCGTGGGCTAGCATGCATGGCAGTGATGGAGACGTTAGCCCTTGTGGTTGCCTGTACTTGCCACTGTTGGAAGCGGTGCTGATCTCGTGCCAGTGGACCAGCAGAGGAAATACTGGTTGAAACTGTGCATTTAAGGGCAGTGATTCTTCGAGCATGTGCAGAGCACAGGAAAGATGTGCTGCCCAGTGCTGGCTTAATTCCTCCGAGACAAAGCTGTATGAGGGCTGTCAGATGAGGATAGGGGTTGACAGACTGGGGCTGTACCTGAATGTCTCCAAAGGGTAACTGATTCTAGGTCAGGAGCTCCCTAGGTGCTTCTAAAGGCATGTAAAGATAAAATATGTTTTTGTAGTGGCAACCACATTCCTCTCTGAAACAAGATTGATGTGCAGCTAAGCAGTGTAGTCACTTCAGACTAGTGCCTGTTGCAGAAGCTTGTAGATCTAGTTTGATCATGCCACATGTCGTTTCATGGCACGCTTAAAACTTTATCCTGTTCCGATTGCTTTGGCATAGCAACGCAGGCCTCAGCTGTCCACATCAAGGATTCTTGACACAAGTCCTTTTTCTTTATCGTCAGCAAACCCATAGCTCCACAGCTGCTTCAGGTTTCCACCTTTAAAATAAGCCATTTCTCCACCAACATACAGGAGTGTCTGAAAGCTAACATCATGGACATTTTTTAAATGCTAAGCACTATGGGGAGCACTGCAGAAAAACCTGTGTGTAAATCTGTGGTGCAGTAAATTTCTCTGGTAGGAGAATTCAAAAAAGTGGGAAAAGACAGGTAGGAGTTGTTGTTATGCTTGGATCTGTAAAGTTACGCCTTGCCTTCTGAGAAATGTCAACTTAATTGAAGCTCTGTCAAGGAGGGAGGTTTTATGTCACTTAAACATGTAGGAATCCATCTCTGTTACAAATAAGATAGTTATAGTATTTCCTCTTTCAAAATCAGTGGAAAGTTAAGCTTTTCTTTAAGCTTTAAAGGAAAGGAAGGCAATTTTTAATGCACATTTTGTAGCTGGCATTTACCTCAGTTAACCCAAAGAAAGTGAAATCTTGTTCTTAATTTTATAGTTTTTATAACAGGCTATCTTCAAGTGAAATACTTGAATGAATTGTGAGGGTGGAAGGAAGGTTTGCCAGAAAAAAAGATGGTTGCATTCTAGTGTGTGTTTACAAAGGGGATAAAACTAAGTAAACAGTAAATTGATTTGTTCTGCCACTTCCTTTCTTTTCAGACTGTATTTCAGAAAGTGAAATTGGATGCAATTCTAAACGGAGAACATGTTTACCAGCTCCGTGTCCTAATACGAGTAACATCAGCCTGTGGAATATCCTGAGAAATAACATTGGAAAGGATCTCTCCAAAGTGGCCATGCCTGTTGAGTTAAATGAGCCACTTAACACCCTTCAGCGTCTCTGCGAGGAGCTGGAGTACAGTGAGCTCCTAGATAAAGCAGCGCATACCCCTAACCCCTTTGAACGGATGGTAAATATGTCATTACAAATACTTAGTAAGAGTCAATATAATTAGAATAGAGTAAATGTAAAAACAATCTGCCAAAGAAATGAAGATGTTCTGTTCCATTTTTCTTTTTCTCCCAGCTGAGAGAGGCAGACTCCCCAAACGTGTGTGTACATACTTACCTACCCACGGTTTTTGACTCTTCTGCATAATTTCTGTTGCCTTGTCAGGAAGCCTGTCCTGCAAGGTTAAACAAAGAAGTAGTTTAGTTCTGTTTTGCAGCTCTTACTCTGTAAGATTAAAACTTTACAGCAAAAGGGGGGGAGGTGGAACTAATATACTTCCCTCTTGAGTGTGAAAGCTACAATATATTGTTTTTAACGACGCCTAACCTGGTTACACATTTGTGCACAGAGGATGCTGGATCTTCCAGCCCTACACCACTGCGATATCTTTATATTAACTAAATGATCTCCATTTGTTTCACTAACTGGTTTTGTGAAGTTTTGGGATTGATCCAAAATGTTCAGGATCTCAAAACTGGGCAATATTAATGTATGTTGGGTGCAATAATGGTGTCATCTTCTGCCAGTGCAGAACACTGAATTCAGCATTTGGCAAAAGAACAAGAGAAAAATGCATTTCAGTTGTTCTGCTTCCAGGTGCACAAGAGCCACTTAATATGTAAGCCCATAAATAAAGGATTAAAAGGTCTCTAACTTCTCTTAAATGGAAGCTATAGATTGTCCCTTAAACTGAATTAAGCCTTTGCAACGTAATATATCTAACATCAAAATGAGGTTATTAATAAATGTAAATAGTCATGTTATAAATACTGTTTGCAAAGCCTCTTGCCATTCTGACACTCTGCAAGGGTTACAATTTAGGGTCTGCTCTCAGGATGGAGGGTGCAGTTATTAACTAGGGTTTTAGGTGCGTAACTTGTTTTGTTTTCTTGAGAACATATGTTAAAAGGAAAAGGAAATGAGCAATAGTTGTTCATGTGGGAGTGAAAAGAAGTTTTTTCCCTTCTTCCCACACCCAAGCATCTGGAAATTACCTCAGAATGGCGTATTCTTTGCCTTTGAGAAATTCCTGAGGCAAAATTAATGCTAGCTGTGGGTAGTAATTGCAGTAGTTCATAAAATAGCCATTCTGAAGTGGATTAAGTTTCTGAAATTGTGAAAGGAGACCGTCTACACTTTCAGAAGATGAGGAAAAGGGAATGAAAAGGGAGAAAAAAGAGATCTGAACCAAACTGCCTTATATTCTAATTCCTCAGGTTTGGGGGTGAATTATGCTTGAGTTGACTGCAAAAATTTCGAAGGGTTACCTGTGTCTTAATCATAAGCAATAACAGTTTCATGGTTAGGTAATAGCACACAGTAGGTAAGAGGCAACTAAATTCAGACTGCATTAGAAATAGCAAACTTGGTGAAATCTAATACTCTTGTGCCATGTTTAGGAAGAGGATAGTTGATTGATCATGGAATCACAGACCATAACTATAAAAAACAGTTTTAATACAAAATCTAACAGTGATTTTTAACTTCTAACTCTGCTTTGAACTGTGTTGCGGAATGCTAAACTGTTTCAAACAGTTTTCAGAAATGCTATTTTCAGTTGATGAAATTTGCAGTGTTTGACCCTAATAACTCCATCCCTGGACTGCTGACTAGCTCTGAAAACGGAATAGTTCTCTAAGCTAGTGACCTGGAGACGCTCAGAAGCCGCCTGGACTTGTTCCTGTGTGATCTACTCTGGATGATCCTGCTCTGGCAGGGGGGTTGGACTAGATGATCTCTAGAGGTCCCTTCCAACCCCTACCACTCTGTGACTCTGTGAGCTAGTGTTTAACTTGCAGGAGGCATGCATGTTTGTAGTCTGCAAGGATAGGAAAAATACAGACCTTCTTTCTTCCTTTCTTCTGTTAAATCAGAATGTATAGCAAAACTGTGCATGGCTGTGGTAAATTAATTAATCAAAATTCCGCATATGTTATTCCCAGGTGTATATAGCTGCATTTGCAGTCTCTGCGTATGCATCCAGTTACTACCGAGCTGGAAGTAAGCCGTTTAATCCTGTGCTTGGAGAAACCTATGAATGTATTCGCGAAGATAAGGGTTTCCAGTTCTTTGCAGAACAGGTACTGTATGCTGCAACCCTTAGATTTACTACTTGATGCACTGCTTAATTCTAAATGCATGGCTAGAATCCTCTGGAATTAGGTAGAATACTAAATTACTTTACATAACCTGAGGCCAGCAAAACTCAAGAGACGCTGCAGAATTATAAATTAAGGAAATTGCTTTTTGAGGAAAGTCTGCGAACTCTGGGATGGAGCATGGCAGCCCGCAGCTGACACTCGAAAAGCAAAGGCTGGCAGGCTGCCTACTACAGTA